ACGGAATTGGTTCCTAAGGCTGATGTCGTTCCATTCCGTCTGGCGAGCCCAACGTTTACATTCTGCAATGAAGTCTTCTACGGGTCTTTTCCCTTGCCTGAGGTTTCTGATGGCATGTTCTGCTGTCATCTGTTTCCCAGGATCGTCATATAGTAGGGGCATGGCGGTGACGAACCCGTTGTAGGATTCCAGCAGGGGATCGTCAATTTCTAAGTATGTGTTGGCCCAGGCCCTGGGCTCGCCCCGGAGATAGGAAATCGTTGTGCGGACCTTTATACGATCCGTTGGATATGATCTGGGTTTAAGTTCAAACATTAATTTACAGGCGTTGAGGAAGTCACTGTACTCCTTACGATTCCCTGAGAAAACGTGGGGAGGACATACTTTCGGTTCTGGGCCAGGGTGGACTGTGGGCGCTTCAGTCTTTGCGAGATGGTCTCTCTGAGGTTTTGGTTCTCAGTACGGAGCTCCGTCACATTCAGTGTGAGAGCCTCCATCTGCTGGGTAAGACCTATTATGTGCTGAGCCAGTTCCGCTGGATCCATTTCCTTTACCGTGGTCCCACTATACTGTAACAATCACCCCGGACTCGGGCTCTATCTAATATGGATCTCAACTGCGGTGTCTGGGTACGGGTGCCGAGTAAATACAGTGATACCCGGGTAATCACAGCAGTGGTTATAACCAGTATGAGCTGAGCAGTATAGCAATGGATATACTGTGCATGAGATGAGCAGTACAGCAGCGGTTAAGTTGCATGAGATGAGCAGTACGGCAATGGTTAATTACAAGAGATGAGAAACACAGCAGTGGCTTAATCAGCATGAGATGAGCAGTATGACAATGACTAATTAGCATGAGAGGAGCAGTACAGCATTTGCATAACTAACAGTACAGCAGTGGCTTAATCAGCATGAGATGAGCAGTACGACAATGGCTAATTATCATGAGAGGAGCAGTACAGCAATTGCATAACTGACAGTAGCTGAGAGTATTCCAGTCTGGTCTATGAGACCTGGAGCCAGCGTGTGCTCTCACTATGGATACTTGCGGTTCTGCTGGTAGTTGAGTTGCGGCAGTGTGACGCGGGTTGGAGCCCGCTGAGTTGCGGCAGTGACACGGGTTGGAGAGGTCCAGGGAGCGAGTGGCGTGCTGGGTTGATCAGCGTCCACCTACATCAATAGTGGGACGCCGATCAACTAACTCGCTCTAGAGGGGGCGGAGCTACGGGGCGCGCCTGCGCAGGACGCATCTCCCGGCAGAGAGAGAGGCGCCGGCGATCCACAACGCGCCTGCGCAGCACGATTCCGGGCACTGACACCAGGGGCCGTCACCCAATGTGTTCGACCCGAGGAGGAGAGGACCCAACGTGCCCGCACAGGCCCGCGACGGACGGCGGCACCGGACCTCACCAGGGTACGACCATTACATTATCTCAGTAGAAAGTAACTGTATTGAAGCAGTCAATTGAATAGGTTTTAAACAGATGATACTGTGTACTTGCAGTTTTTGAGGATTCAGTCCCACAGTGCCACCCAGAAGATGTAGGAGGAGTAGCCTGTAAAGTCCTGGCGATGGCTGCTCCTTGCTGATCTCCCTTTGTAGTTTGAATGCAGAAGTGATGTGTATTACATCACTTCCGCATTCACCTGTCAGTCATCTGGCTCCTACTGCCAGAGAGAAGAAGCTGATGAAGCAAATCCGTGCTTCATCAGCTTCTTTTTCGCATGCGCCAGCGCGCAAAAATGACAATTGAGCTACACATGTTACATATTGAAGTGAACGTCGCAGAGAGAGCAATCATTTTAGGGCCATCAATCACTGATAACACTAAACTGATGAGCGGTAAAAGCTTTTAATGCGTCACCTATGGCCAATTTTGGGTAATGTCGTTTTTTGAGGTTTCGCGCGCGTGCGCAATTTTAAGGCTTGACATGTTTGGTGTCTCTTTACCCGACATGACCCCGTCTTTTATATTTTACAAAAAAATTGGGTAATAATAAATGTTTTAGAATTTATTATTGGGGAAACTGTTTGTTTTTTGAATTTTCTGTCATTTTTCCTTAATATATTAAAAAATAAAAACCCCAGTGGTGAATAAATACCACCAAAATAAAGCTCTATGTGTCCCCAAAAAAGGGTATAAAGTTAATTTCAGTACAGCGCTGCATGACGGAATAAATGTCAGTCAAAGTACCGCAGCGCTGAATACTGAAAAATGGCCTGGATGGGAAGGGGGTTTAACAGCCCGGATGTCAACTGGTTAATGGGGGAGGATGCAACACCTGGTGACAGCTCACTTGCGCAGTCACTGCTGTCCCTTCAGGCAGGGTCTCTATGAGCACCAGAGGGTGGGAAGAGCTGGAATTTATATCCCCTGGGTGTGTCCAGGAGCACATGGGATGATGGGAGTCCAGAAACTTATGGGAGACCAGAGGATTGTGGGAAGCTGAGTTAAAGGGACCCGCACCTGTCACTGAATAAAGGGGCACCCTGCCACAAACATTTACAGCATATCATGGCATCTCCTTAGAGGCGATTGCTTGTGCTAGGTAGACGAATGCAAATTCTCCAAAGCCAGGAAGAATTATTACATGTAAGGCATCCTGGACTCTGTCTGGACTCTGCTTGTTGATGATCTTGCCACATGGACTCCTATAGAAATTCAAAAGGTGGCACTGTGTACTTTGTGACCACTGATGCCTATGGATTCATTTCTGTCTCAAAGATAATATGCTTTCATATCTGTTTCCGAGGCTGACACTTTATTTTTTTAATAGGAAAATACATATGGAATGGCCCATGAGAATGCAATGCAATGAGGAGGTGCGTTGGGGCGCCATTCAGAAGTAATGGCAGAGCATAGCCCCAGCTTATATAAATTGCATTAACGTACCGCAGTAGTGGGAATGAGTCCTAAGGAAGATTAAGGCATATCTGACGTATATTGATTAGCACCTTTCTAAGGTGCATGTATATATAGATGACATAACTGGCTATCACAGCTAAGAACTCATAAGATTAACTCGGAGTGTTTCATACCTATCTATGCCACCCAATTTTCCATATACTTGGCTGGACATCCTTTGATTTGTTCCCTGTCTAAATGACATTGCAATATCACTAAATGGACTTTGACAGACATGGGGATCTCTAGGGAGTCTATTTATAAACAGTTTGCAGGGACGCTGCACCTGTCACCTGTCCACTCTATTGATCAATAACTGAGCAATCGCATACCGATGATCGTTCAGTTCCTGATCTTCTCTCTGCAGAGAGCAGTACTGTCAGTCACTGCTCCCCACAAGGATTCCCCCCTCCCCTCTCTCTTCCTCCAACGCTGACTGGAGGGACGGAATGGGGAGGGGATGGGCACAGCTGGCTCTGCCTCTAGAGAGGCAGTGCCAGCTGTCAATCAGGTGGCTGGGTGTATTCTACGTTGTCAGCATTGCCCGCACTATGCTAAGTTTTGTGTCCCTAAAGAGAACTATGGTCAAAAAGGTTGGGCCATAATTCTCTTTTAACTGAATAAATTGAATTGGTTGCTATAGACAACTGCTCCAGATTCAGTTTTTATGAATTCCCCCCAATATGCATCCAATAAGGCAGGGGTGGGCAAACGCCAGCCCTCCAGCTGTGGTGAAATTACAAAACCCATCATGTATCTGCCTTTGGGAGTCATGCCTGTGGCTGTAAGAATCATGCATTGCCTCATGGGATTTGTAGTTCCACAACAGCTGGAGTTTGCCCACCCCAGCAATAGGGTGATGTTAATATGAGCACAGACCACACTGTAACCAGTTCTGGTAAAAAAAAACAAGCGATGAAAGTAAAGACTGCTGCAATTGTCCCTTTGGAAAATTACTGCTACCTTTTTTTAAATAAAGAATTTATATAAATTAAAAAAAACTGGCCAAAATCCTCTACTCTTTGCAAAACGAGTCTGGCTTACGTTCCAGTTTAAAGAGCAATATCACTCTTTCTAAATAGACCTATAGGTATGGCTGGCAGTTTATGATAGTTATAAAACACAGCCTAGAAGTGACCCTTTATTTCGCTTTCCACTGTAAAGCCCGGTACACACACTACACCGCTGGCCGGGCTCCTCAGTCTGGGAGCAGTGGGCGGGGCCAGGACAGGGGTGTGGTGTTAGGTGACAGAAGGAAGAGGAAGAAGTTGAAAGAGGTGCTACCGGACTTTTTCTAGGACAGGAGGGGAGGAAGGCTCACTGATCACCCGCAACAATATACACAATCCCGAACACGAGCCATCACTTCGGTCCTAGGAACTTGGAAAGGAAGATCGAGACAGTGGCTGAAGAGAGGCGCGTTGTGTTTGAGGAAAAAGTCACATGGGTACTCAGTAAATGGGTGTCGATCTGCCGATAAAGTTCGGCCCTGATTGCTGCGGGGTCTGAGATGTGTCCGGGGTGTTTGGGTACTTAGTGCACAGAGATTGAAGGGGAGCCGAGGAAAGTGGTACTGCCTACAGAAGTGCAAGGGATCTATAGCTGATCTGGCCAGGTAGAAGCTGCCCTGTACATGAATCTCTGACAAGGTGATTCATCCAGATCGTTCATACACCAGGGGACAGTGTTACCCACTACCATGTCCCTGTAGACACCAAGCTGAAGTGGCAGTGGAAGGTGTTCCCTTAAATCTGGACCTCTGTGGCTACAGTTAGATACATGATCATTCATATATAGCATACCTCTGAAAATCTGACTTAATATTAAAGCTCAGGATATAGACACACATAGGCATTTGAAGCAAGGGACTTGTTAGACCTGTGAGTATTTTTTTTCTGTGGTTAAAATTTACAGATGAGACATAGACTTAATGTAATGTGGATATCAATTCTGAATATTTTACTAATATATTCGTTTCAAAGATCACTGAATTGTGTAAACGTTTCATAACAAACATCCAACTGGAAGCACCATTATATAAACATTGGACTAAAAAAACACCATTGGACACACAAAACTTTGAACTAAAAATCACCATTGGACAAACAAACATTGAACTAAAAACACAATTTCTTAGATAAGTAAACACTCTCTAATAATGAGTAAAAGGAGACGTGGATTTGTAAGTGCTTGGCAGCCACTAAGAAGGAGGAAGATTATTTTTGTGCTGGTGGCTATTGCCTGTATATTGCTCTTTGGGTTCCTGCTGCTTAGTAAAGAGGTGGAAGAAAGCAGTAGCCAGAATTCTGAAGGACACAAGGTAGAGAAGCGTGTGCTACCCGGAGAGGAGTCTCTCAAACAAGATGAATTAACCTATGAACAGTTAAAGAGGCCAGTATATGAAAAACCTCCATTAGATCCCAGTGCTTTGGGAGAGCTAGGGCGAGCAGTAAATCTCCACCTTGAAGGGGACGAAAAGAAGCTGGAAGAAGAGAGCATCAACACACTTCAAATAAACATCTACCTCAGTGACAGAATCTCATTACATCGCCGGCTGGAAGAAAGATGGAATCCAATGTAAGTTTGAATACTTATTAAAATGTACAGAACCGCTATTTATTTTTGCATTGGTAGCGCTATGCTTTATTGAAGTTGCTGAGTGATGTCTGGTTTGTCAATGTGTGTGTCTGTCTGTATTTTGTTTTTCTACTGGTGGGCACAGCTATCTTGCCTCTCATACAGGATAGAGAAGGTGAAGCTAGGCTGCCAATTACGACCCACATATCAGATACCTGTGCTCTTCCAGTGACAGTCATGCTTCACACTTCAGCGGCCAGGGAAATGGTTTGAGATGGATATGAGGGCTTAGCTGTTGACTTTTGAAAGTAAGTAGAAATTTCCAAGTCGGTATACTCTTTAGTGTACTTAAAGTGTTTGTTAACCCAAAATATAATATTCCATATAGGTGTCGTGTTATACATTTACTTCCTACTAAATGTAGCCTGTAACATTTTTTTTATATTGCCTATGTTTTTGCCAAATACCTGGTGATCCTGCTAGTTCCCCTTGCTTTCTATTTCAGACTGACCACGCTAGGCATGAAAGCAGATCCATCCTAGTGTGGTCAGTTTGCATTACTTCTCTTGATTTGAGAGCTACTGGATGCTGTACCAATGCATGATGTGCCTGTGGTTCTATAGTCAGATTCAGCTGCTACGTCCTTGTCCACCCCTCCACAGTTTAATTGACGGTGGCAGGAGGCACGCGGTCTCCACAGTTCTTTGCATAATGTTGGCGGAAGGTGTTGATGGAATCTGCTGGGTGTCTCCTGCAGGCTCTGCTGTGGAAAAGCTATTGTGACCACAGCGAAAAATCTAACACTGTCACTTTTACCATTCTTTGGGCTAGCAATACCTCATCTAGCCGCAGTATCACAGTGCCTGGAAGGCATTATAATTTTTTTGCCATTGGGTTTCATCCTAGCACCTTTTCCATTGCTAGTTCACTGCATACAGAAACTGGTATTGAACACCATGAAGGAACAGACCTTTTTCAATCCACATTAAAATGGCTGCTGGTATCCCACTCCCTTGTGTTTGCTTTTGTTTAGGGAGTCATTGCGCCACCTGTTAATCATCCCTCCATGGGATCTCAAACCTTTTGGGTTACCGCTGAGCCGCCATATGAAGTGCCTTCTAAACTCCTCCCACACAATAGCATTTCTGGTTGCAATCACCTCAGCGAAGAGAATGTACGAAATGGCTGGTTTCTCCTCCAAATTATCCAAATTATCTTTACTTGCACTTCAGTGAGGACTTCATTTTGCCCTCTTTTTACTCTTTAGATGTGATAGGAACAGATCAATTAACACTACTCTGCTAACTTCTACGAGGTAGATTATTTGTTTGTCATACCTGAAGTCTCTGTTAGGTGTCTTCTGCATCCATTGTGAATATGGCATGGTGGATATGAGAAAATTAGTCACAAGATGTCCATTTGTATTGTTATGTCTTTATTCGACATTAGACAAACACGGCATTACACGCAACTGTTTTGCCTGATGAAGGGACCATTAAAGGTTTCAAAATGTTGCATTTGCATGTGATGCCATGTTTGTCTAACATTGAATAAAGTCAGAACGATAAAGTAGACCTCCGGTGTGCTGGTGACTTATTCTGTCATTCTGAATTATGAAGCGTCATCTGCAGGTCATTACAGCACCCACTGAAGTATATTTGCTGGGATTCCAGTCTGGGAGGCAATGGCACATTTTGAATTATGGCATGGTGTCTTTGCCTGATAATCTCTCAGGTGTATTGTTTGGACGGTCAGTAAGAGTAGAGCAGTATGAACATCTTGGGTTGATGCCTGGTATCAGTTCGCTAAGTTTTATCATGTGGATCTAACGGCCTTATTTGACTATAAATAGTCTTGCAAGAGGCTATGTGTTCAGAAAGACCTAAATCTAATGGCAGTTCATCCAATCGCACAACGTCTAATATTTGTTGAAGAAAATACTATGCATTTGCTGAATGGCCGCTGTGTCGAGTTAGTGTTTTAACAGTGGAGTAGAACCCGATAGCAGAGTGGCTGTTCCTGGACCTTAAAGATTGCTGTAAGACAGTGTAGTAGCTCAGACAAATAGTGTTTTATTGGGTCCCTGTGGACCTGCCAGGGATAACTTATATATACTTACATTGTGCCAAGCTGGATCAGTATGAATATTTATAAATTTGTATAGCTGAAGGTCAGCTTCAACTCAGAATTAACCAATTTTTCTTTCAATCTACCGACCTTAATTATACACACACATCAGCCATAACATTATGACCACGGACGGGTGAAGTGAATAACATTGATTTATCTCATTAAAATTGCACCTGGAAGTGGGTGGGAGATATTAGGCAGCAAGTGAACATTTTGTCCCTGAAGTTGGGAACAGAAAAAACAGACAAGTGTAAAGGCCGTGACACACTGCACGCGAAGCCGTGCAGAGCGAAGCAAAGCTCTCCGGCACGGAGCTTCGCGTGCAGTGTGTGAGCTGAGTGCAGTCAGATGATTGACTGCACCTTCAGCCAATCGGCTCGTCTGTAACAACCGGCCAGACGTCGCATTCCGGCGCACCGGTTTATACGCGCGAGCCGATTGGCTGAAGTTGAAATTGTTCATCTCGGCACGCTCAGCTCTGCGAGCTCTCGCAAGCTGAGGTGCCGAGAAGAAAGTGACATGACACACTGCTCGCAAAGGCAGCGCGCCACCGCTCCGCGCTGCTTCGCGTGCAGTGTGTCACGGCCTTATGGCTTTGAATTACTTTGACAAAGGGCTAGACAACTGGGTCAGATCAACTCCAAAATGACAGCTCTTATAGTATGTTCCCGGTCTGGAGTGGCCAGGACCTGCCAAAAATGGTCCAAGAAAGGAAAACCATGAACCGGTGACTCATTCATGCGCTTGGGGAGCAAAGCAATGCAATAGATGAGCTACTGTAGATCAAATTGCTGAAAAAAGGTTTCAAATACTGGTTCCAATAGAAAGGTGTCTGGAAACAGTGCATCGCAGTTTGTTGCATATGGGGCTGCTAGCCGAGACCGGTCAAGGTGGAAAGGAGGAGTCTGTCAGGCAGTTATTCGTACCTCAGGACTGTGTTAAATCTGGCGCATAGCAACATTCTTGGTGGTCACCTGGGGGTTAAAAAAAACATTCTCAGGAGGTTTTATTGGACGGGTGTAATGTCAGCTATTGCAAATTATTGGTCTTCATGTCCTGAATGCCAGTTAACCACCCCTCATACAGTGTACCGTAGCCTCTTGGTACACTTACCCATAACTGAGGTTCCGTTTGAGTGCATTGGTATGGATTTTGTGGGCCCTCTTGTAAAGTCTGCTATCGGAAACCAATACATATTGGTAATAGTAGACTATGCTACCCGGTACCCTGAGGCCATAGTCACGGGTACTACATCAGCAAAAGCTATTGCTAAGGAGTTAATGCTAGTGTTCAGCCGGGCCAGGATCCCAAAAGAAATCAAGAACCAGGGGATCTCATTCATGTCAAGGGTCCCAAAAGAATTACCGTATGTAAAATGCTTCATGTAAAGCACCCTAAAATGTCTGTGTACCATCCACAAACTGATGGGTTAGTCTAAAAGTTCAACAAAACACTAAAGGCTATGCTCAGAAAGGTAGTCGACAAAGATGGGAAAAACTGGGACTTCCTTTTGCCTTATTTAATGTTTGCTATAAGAGAGGTTCCCCAAGCTTCTACTGGGTTTTCGCCCTTTGAACTCTTTTATACAGTAGACACCCCTGAGGGTTGCTAGATATAGCTAAGGAGACTTGGGAACAGGAGTGAACCCCTCACAGAAATGTTATAGAGCATATTTCCCAGATGCAGCAACACATGACAGCCATCATGCCCATAGTTAGAGAACACATGGAAAACACCCAACAAAATCAGCAAAATAGCTACAGAGTTTGTGTGTTTAACTCAGGAGACAGAGTGCTAGTCCTCGTCCCCACCGTAGAGAATACATTATTGCCAAAATGGCATAGACCATATGAAATGCTTGAAACAGTTGGGGAAGTTAACCATAAAGTAAGAGCCTGGGAGGTGAAAGGAGGTACAAATCTACCATGTGAAACTACTTAAGCCATGGAAAGAAAGTGTTGTAATGCTAAAAGCAGCAGACCTCACTGTTGAAAAGAATGATCCCGTGGTCAACATCTCAGAGACCCTGACTATCCACCAGAAGAGTGGGGCATAAGAGTTTGTAAGATCGAATAAAGAGATTTTCTACCCCATCCCAGGAAGAACAACTGTAATAAAGCATGACATCATCATTGAGGCAGGGATCAAGATAACTCTTAAGCCGTATAGGATACCTGAAGCCCGGAGAGAAGTGTTCAGGTCAGAAGTAAAAAAAATGCTGGACCTTGGGGTAATCGAAGAGTCCGAAAGTGACTGATGTAGCCCAATTGTGCTTGTACCTAAACCCAATGGCACAATCAGGTTTTGCAATGATTACTGGAAGCTGAATGCAATATCCAATGCCAAGGGTCAACGAACTTGTGGAAAGGCAGGCACCTTACCACATTACATCTGACCAAGGGTTATTGGCAGGTAACGCTTACAGAACGGGCAAAGGAAAAGACTGCATTTTCCACTCCGGATGGGCTCTTCCAATATAAGAACCTTTTGGGTTGCATGGGGCTCAAAGAATGATGCATCGGATCTTAAGAGGACATTCCCATTGTGCAGCAGGGTACTTAGATGACCTGGTCATACATAGCGAAGACTGGGAGTCTCATCTGTCAAAGGTGCAAGCTGTACTTAACTCCATAGGCGTCGGGTTGATAGCAAATCCTAACAAATGTACCATTGGCTTAGAGCAAGCCAAGTATTTTGGCTATTTTATTGGAAGAGGGATAGTTGAGCCACAAGTTGCTAATATTGAAGCCATAAGGAATTGGCCACAACCTCAGACGAAGAAGCAGGTCAGAACATTTCTGGGATTTATTGGATAATACAGGAGATTTATCTCCAACTTTGCTACAATTGCGGGTCCCTTAACTGACCTC